AATATATATATATATATATAAAAAAGATTTTCCTTTAGAGCTTATAACTGGTTTTGCCTTCGTTGATTTATCACAAACATATGACAGCTGATAAGTGGCTAGAAGTCTACAATCACTGAAGAAGCTCTTTTAGCAAGCTCATCTTTGTATATATTTGGAAATATTCCATTAAATAAGGTCCAGAACCCATGGAGAAAGGAGGTGGTTAGCTATGAAAACTGAACATATTTATTTTCCAAACCAACAGGATTAAAGAAGGCAGAGAGCAGTGAAGCAGGTTCTGGTATAAAAAAAAAAGCAACAAAAATGGACTCATATGAACTCTAAAGGAACAGTCAAGACAACAGAGGAAGATGACAGGTGGTGAAAAAGTCAACAAGCTGAGAGACATACAAAGGAGGTAATGAGGGCATGTGAGACAGCAGACAGGTGTGCTGATTAGTAATCATGATCAGGTGAGATAGGAAAGAGGAGAAACATGGCTATCCACCCATTTTCTATACTTACTTATTCTTTGCAGGTGTTGCATATCCCCTGTAAATAAAGTAGCCCACCAAGACCAACACAGAGACAAACATGACAGACAAGCATACACGCTCTAACCTACAGGTAAGTTAGATTGGCCATTCAACTGGACATGCACGTCTGTTTTTTTTTTGTCTGCTTTTACTTTACTGTAGGTGGTTGATGCAATATATATAAGTAAACAAACAAAAACACAAATCTCCAACAGGTAAAGGAAGAGTGTACAAAGAACCAGGAATAAACCCCCTAATGAATAATAAAATGAATTTTGAATTTGAATTCAACTTTATTTTCATTACACTGTCACAAGTACATAGCAATGAAATTCCCTCCTTGCATTTAACCCACCCCCTTGGAGAGCAGTGGGCTGCCATTGTGCAGCGCCCGGGGAGCAGTATGGGTTTAAGGGTCTTGCTTAGGGACTCAGAGTGGCAGTCTGTGGGAGTGGGGCTTGAACTCAGAACCTCTGGGGTCCAAGCGCAATGCACTAACCACTAGGTCACCCCACCCCTTTAAAAGGTAAATCCCTTTATTTTCCCACAATGGGGAAATCCACTCTCTGCATTTAACCAATCCCTTTGGGGAGCAGTGGGCTGCCATTGTGTGGCGCCTGGGGAGCAGTCTGGGGTTAAGGGTCTTGCTGAGGGAACCAGAGTGGCAGTCTGTGGGAATGTGTAAGACTTAAACTCAGAACCTCCAGGACCCAAGCGCAATGCTCTAACCACTAGGCCCTGTATTAACGACCTGAGGTGAGTTAATTTAACCAAAAAACCTTCAAACCAATAGCCTCTACAGTAGGCTATGTAATCGTTCAGGTTCATGCCTTATGAACACACTAATTTAGATTTGAGTCAACCTTGGGGGAACAACAAGCAAAAAAACCAAACAATTATGGTTCGAATTAATTTGAGTCTAATGTGTAACATTTACCATTTGGGCTGCAAAACTTTCTCTGCGATAAACTAATTGCTATGACCACCAATAAAACAACAACCCTCAAAAGGTTTTTATCAAACAAAAAATAAGTCCCTAAAGCACAATAAGCTTGTAAATCTGAAAAACAAAGCAGGTCAAATTTGTTCAGCAGGGCTTATATCTGATGATCTTAGTTAACAACAAGGTGTTAACTAATACAGTTCTTCCAGTATTTAGCATCTGTTTGGAACATCATCCTCCTACTGTCAAACAGAGAAACACTATCCGTTATTACAAGCTCATCTGTCGGCATGAACAAAGGAACAGGGAACTTATCTGACACCGACACTACGCTTTGACTGTTGGTTGGCTCTAATGGTTTTCTCTCTTGTCTGGAGCAATAGATGACAGTATAGTGATTTATCCTTTCTGTCTTGGGCTGAGTAACAGTTGCCACTTGGGATTAGGTTTTACTGGGAGTTTGTCATTGACATTCAAACCCCTCACTACAGTGCATCAAAGATTTTAGAAAAACAGCTTGTAAGCAGCTACAGTTTGTAACACTAGTGCTTCTTTGTTATTGACAGGGTACCTCAGGACTGTAGGTTTATACCTATGATATAGGCATTTTCTTTTTATTTTTTTTTATTTATATGTGGATGACTGAAGGTACTATCTTTTACATAATAGACCTATCAGCTGATGGTTCCTCAATGCCTTCATAGGTCATCCTTTAGCGTTGTTCACATCTTGTAGAAAGTGTCATAGCTGTGTATCCAGTCCACTCCTTTGATAAAATGATTGCCAGGTATTTGTACCCCCTACCTGCTAGTTATTGTTACATATGATTGAAATATACTTAACCTTTTCAGTTATAATTTCACTATTTTATTTGATGTTTCTCCTTATATAAGTTTACCTTTAAATCAACGGTCAGGTGAAATTACTAAGTAGAGGAAAATATTCATATAGCAGGAATGTCATTTAGTGGAAGACTTTCTTAAAACCAGATTTTCAGACCTGAAACTTAAATAGCTAAAATTTTGTAAATATTTGCTAGGTGGGTTTATGTTTTTGGGATTTGACCACAGCAGGCTGGTGATGTTAATAGTGAACAAACTGTTCTACTGATATTAACATCTTGATATTCTATACTTGTTCCATTAAATCCCAGTTAAACTGAGATTTTCCTGATGGCATCCTCCATTATTATTCATCGCCGAATAACATAAGATCATCTGCGAAAGCTGTGACATTAGGTGATATTTTCAAAACCTTTACCTTTTTTTTGCAGCTAACGCCAAGACTGTTTCTAATTTAAAGTGGGCCAAAGTTCTGCTGCTTGAGTTCTATCCAAAATCCCATTTCACTCTTTTAATCCCCCTCTTCCTGTCATATCTGTAAAGTTATAAACAATCAGATTTCAACTCTTTCCAGTCTACTAAAAACCCTTAAGGTGTTCTAGTCTAGATCAAGTCTTTCTTGTTGTCCCTTGCTCCTAACTGAGAGCATACGCATTTTGTTATAGTCTTTCTTAGGTCTTGATGTACAGGCCTCCTGGGGGTCTTAAATAAGACATGAAGATCTCCTCCTTCATCTTATCTCAACATTCCATTTTTTCTTAGCTTTACATTTTAGATTCTATATCATATGTTTAGAAAACATACAATAAAAATTAGGAGTTACATAAAACTGTGGATAGTATATTTTTAAATCTTTGCCATATGTCTTTTTTCCAAATTCTTCCATTCCTAATTCAAGCTCAAGAAAATTAAGGTCATAGTCACTCCTGTACTTCAGTCATAAAATTTTGGAGGGACATAAGAGGTGGATGGTGTGTGGATATGTGATTGTGCTAATATAATGTAGGGAATAAACTCCCAATGTACTTGGTGTTCATATGAATACAAAAAAACAGACCATAAGGAGTCTTATCCAGTCCTATATTTGTTAGCTCTATCATTATGCCCTATACTTCAGGCTGCATGATTATTGCAGGAAATCTATGTCTGTGAAGATACTCTATGATCAATAACAGCAGATTGAAACCAACAATTAAAAAACAAATTATCTTAAGCACTCAGTTTAAAAATCTGTTTAGGGCTAACTCAGGTTAAACTCCTGTCTTTCTGACTAAGACACTGATTAAGCAGATCCAATTTCCAATCAAAGATTCAGGCAACAGGTTTTATAGATACAATCCAACATACAATATTTTGCCAGTATTATTAAATGTAATAAATCAAACTGTCATGCGCAGATCTGGCAAAATTATGTTTTTTAAGAGCAGAATCACAGCAACAACTAAAATTCTGAATGTATCCCTGCAATATTATTTCTGATTTATAAACAGCAGCTTATATAAGGCAGTAAAACTAATGAGAAACTACTTTTTGTGACTCGAAGCTAAAGCGACAGCAAAAGGAAAATGTGATGGAGAGTATGCAGCTCAGATATCTACCACACACCTTATTGAAGAGACACACGATCACCCCTCCTGAGTTCCCCACTTCCATCATCTTTATATTCATTCTCATCCCAGGATATTTTCCACCTTTGAATTGTGCTGTTTTAAATATTTCCTCCTTGATCTTTCAACATCTGCTCCTCACCTCACCACTGTTCTTTTTGTGCTATAAGGTTTTCCAGCTCTCATTGTCCACAGTGCCATCTGCTTATAGGGATTTAGTTGAAATGTTTAGGTATAAGTTTATGCAATATTCTTCTCATTTTTAAGTTCTACCTGTCATCAGTCTGATAAGAATTAGGATATGTATTTATATATTAGATATTTATTTTTCTTCCTTGTTATCAGGAAACAGCTGAAAGAGCAACTCATGTTCTTTTTAAACCACATCCGCTTTACTTGGTGCAAGAAAAAGGTATAGATGTTTTTCTCTCAGGATAGAAGCAGGCAAGCCTTCTTTTATCAGTATTGTTATGTTATTTAGATATCTAGGCTATGTTATCATTTATGTTATTTTAACCCAAACGACCATGCAACAAGTTGGCAAGAAATACATAAAAGTATGACATAAATGTATAAAATTCACCTGCTATGTAGGATTACGAATGACATTTCAAACTTGATATTAAATTGTGAATTTAAAGCTTGAATCCTAGTTACTTGCAGAAAAGATGTAGATTTCCCCTTTTTTTTTCATTTTGTATGATTCAAAAACAGGCTCTTAGACAAACCTACTGCAGTGGGAACCAAACTAGATAAATAGTTTATTGTTGTTTAAACTGCTGGATTAAATAGAGCCCTAACTCATTTTTATTGGCATGGAAAAAACTTAACTTAAACTTTGATTTTCCTTTAATGTTGTGGTAAAACAAATGACAGGAAAAGGCCTAATCAGTAATACTTAAATGTTTGGAGTTTGCTTGAACACTGCTAGGCCCTTTTACCGGAACCATTTGCTTTGGCCTTATTGGTCTAAAGCTTTTGAAACAACAGTCATGCTGGGTTTGACATAAAACAAAGGGAGAGTTTTTGAAACACTAAGTCATGCCTGTGGTTAAGTATAGTGGAGAATATGTGATGATGTAGGCCTGTATTTTTTTTTTTTTTTTTACTAGAGCAGAGTGAAGCAGGACATGGTAGAAGACAATATTACAGAAGCTGCAAATAAACTATAACTGAACAAATCAATAAAAAATGGCCCCCTTAACACATATAGCAGAACCCATTCTTCTGTCCAAGTCCTCAAACTAATTCATATTAGCAATTTTTGTGAATAGCAACGGATTTTAAAATGGGCTTTAGTTTTTAAAGTTTTCAAGTTTATTTATTTTAAGGCTTCTTACGCAACTCTAGAAGAGAGGTCAGTAAAGGGGACAGAGCTCTAACTTATTTCTAACTCCAGTCAGATAGGCTTTGGTTTCAGTGTTTCTAAAATATTTTCTTTCTACTGCTTTTATAATTTTTTTGGGATGTATTTAATCTAAAAGGAATTCTATATTTGTCAGATTTTTGCACAGTGGGTGGCGTTGCTGCAAAAAGGTCCTGGGTTCGATTCCCGGCCTGTAGTCTTTCTGCATGGAGTTTGCATGTTCTGCCTGTGCATGCATGGGTTCTCTCAGAGTACTCCGGCTTCCTCCCACGGTCCAAAAACTTGACTGTTAGGTTAATTGGCTTTTCTATTGGCTTCTCTTCTATGGAGCTGACTGCTGAAGCAGTGGCTTATCTGTAGCTGAGAGAAAGCGGCTTGATAAGCGGATCAGGAAGGCTAGCTCTGTAATTGGAGGTGGTAAACAAAAGGATCCTAACTAAATTAACAACTCTGTTGGATGATGTCTTTCACTCCATGCATGAAACTGTTGCAGAACTGGAAAGCTCCTTCAGTGACCGGTTGCTGCCCCCTAAATGCAACAGTTAGCATTATCCCAGGCCCTTCCACCCAGCAGCTCTTTATAATAATTACTATTTTTAACAAGCTCAATAAGTTACCTTCATGCCAATTTTTGCATAGTTTGTATCTCTTAGTCAGCTAAATAACAGGCTGCTGTCATTTTGCACATATCTGACATTGCTGCTGTTTTAAAATTGAATTACTGTAAAAATGCCCACAGCTGTACATTGGTTATTTATTCTCCAGGTACACGGTATTTATAACACCTTACAGTACAGTAATTTATATATACATATATTTTTTTCACTCTTCACTATTATGTTATTTTACACACTCTTATAATGTCCAAATTTGTGTGATAATTTTTTCTATAATCCTTTTGCTGCTGTAAAACCACATTTTCCCGATTGGGGGACAAAAAAGGGATTTTCTATTCTATTCTATTCTAGATTCTCGGTATGTGTAAGTATGTACATGAATGATTGTTTGTCTCTTGGTTGCCCTGCGATAGACTGGTGTCCATGGGGTACCCTGCCTATCGCCCGCTGACAGCTGGAGATAGGCACCAGTACCTCTCGCCACCCCAGCAGCGATAAGCATGACAAAAATGGATTAAAGTGTCATAGAAAGACGCAAATATTAAGGCTATTTCAAGCATTAGATAGTTTAGATAGCAGCAAATTTACAAAAGGGGCTCCAAAGTGTGGCTCTTCTGTCATTACACACCCTGGGTAAATTCTGGAATGTTACAAATTTAGTCTGTAAGAACAGATTGTTGATGCAGAGGGACACTTAAAAAATATCAACGGCAAAATATTCACTGCACTGATAGTAAAGTTAAAAATAAATACACGGGAATTTCAATCTAAAAGCAGATTGGGCTGACCCATTTTCTAAGCTTGGTTAAATACAACTACATATCAAAAACCCATAGAAATGGTTGAACTACATGGTTTAGTAGAAAGGGAATCTTCCCCTATACCTTAATAGAGCAAATGTGCTTTTATTTACAGATCCCCATTTAACAGAAATCAGATTTTTGTTTGCTTCACTTTAAAATTGTATTTTCTTTATTGATGGAAAAACAAATCCTTTAAACTTGATAAACCTGCATTATATATAACCATAACTGAAAGACTGATAGCCAAATGATGTAAAGAGAAAAAAACAGCATCCTTACTCGACTGTGCAGATCAACTAAGAACCCTAAACATCACCTCCTATAATAGAAACTCTTATGTTAACATGTTAAAATATTTGAGGATATCCATTCACAGCAATAAATAGCATTTATACCTTTATAAAGGGAAATAAATATGTCAATAAGTTAAAACAATATACATTTTATAAATCGTTTTTCATGTGTGACTGACATATTCAAGAGGATGTCACTAGTAGCCAGTTCTTCCTTTTTAGTATCAAATATGTAGTTTGAAAACTGTAACCATTAGAGAGTTCATTGTCTTTGCAGCAGATTAGGTGTAAAAGAACTTAATCATTAAACAGAACAACTAATACTGCCACCTGTTGACTTTTACAATCACATTATGCAGCATAGTTTTAATGTAAAAATATGAAGTATAACTAATAGCCTAAATCCTATTCTATGTGACATAAATTCACACACAGCCACATTTCCTGGCAGAGTGTTTCCTTACAGTGTGGTAAATCAGGTTGTCGTCCAGAAAGGAGAGGTCATCGTCAAACGCGATTGGCCGACAGCAGGCTTGCAGGGGCACGTCTTTGGCGGGGAGTTTCCTTTTGTTGACCAGGTTAAACAGGATTTTATCATAGTTGGTTTCTGACTTTCTGCAGGGTCCTGAACAGTATCTGAATATCATTTCCTCACCGGAGCTGTAGCCCAGGCCCAGGTCTGTTACGTTGAGGTGAATCTGTCGGAGCACGCAGCCCTGTCCTCGTCCACCACCTCCTCCTCTTCCAATCCTCCCACTCATTTTGACTCCTTTATTTTCTATTTTCTCCTCTTTGCCTCTCTTCAGCTTTGCTCCCTTCTTCCTCTTCCTTCTGTGCCGAGTCCTCCGGATCCAGTTTTCGCTGAGGTGGGAAGAGAAGGAGGTAGAGAAAGACTCTGCTGAGGAGGATCGGCGCACTCTATTGATCACTACTTTGATGAAATCCATAGCATTTTTATCATTTTGGATAAGCTCTTCAATGGAATCTGAAACGCATTAATAAAAAAAATATTAGCTTTACAACACACCTGATCTTAGATCTTGTTCCTTGGTGGTAATCAAAACTATATATGTTGTCTGCCTATTATTTCTCTTATTCAGCTGATAGATCCAATCTGATAAATTGATGTTAAACAAATAAAACACAAATAAGACAGCTTTGAATCTAAATAAAGATAAATCAGCCATGTATGGACACCCAGCCAGGATAAGTCTGTTTCTAAACTTTCAACAGACTAAGTTTTCACCTTCCATTTTCAGAGTTTCTCTGCTCTATACTTGGTTCAATATGGATCCATAAAGTTTCTCCCTTAATTACACCCGACATATATGACGACAATGACAACACCATGGTTAAAAAAGGCTTTGAATATCCATTTTTAGTAACACGTGTATTTTTTCATGTGTTGTAATAATTGCTTTTGCAACATTAAAACTTATTTTGGCTGCATTTTGAAATTATTTATTGCTTCTTGTGTTCACAGCTGAGTTTCCACACATTTCTGTTTTTTTTCTTGCATTTTTTTCTTTCTGGTCTTTTAGTCTCATCAGCGGCTTTGGCCTCCTCCAGTGGCTATTGAATCCTGTTACTCCCTCCTCCACTCCATTCTGGTTAACCTCCAGGGAAATCCTCCATTTATCATCCCATGCCTTTCGGTTAATTTTCTTTGAGGTTTCTTTTTGTTGGTTTGGCTGCTTTCAGTGTGTTTGGGAGTTTTAAACGATTTTTAGTTATTGAATTTTGCTTGGCTTCACAACATCTGTAAATGCGATGTACACAAACAAACCTTTTCAGGGAGAGCCTCTCTAGAGAAAGCAAACTCAATTTTATGCTATGGACAGCTGGGGTGACCCCAAGAATGTTTCCATTTCCAATCTGTACAGACCTTTTCTTTATGTATGTCATGTGCTTCCCTGAACATGCCGGGGTTTTCTCTGGGGACTCCAGCTTCCTCATACAATCCAAAACAAGCATGTTAGGCAAACCAGAGACTCTACATAGATTTTTTTCGAGGTGAGTTCTGTTTATGGTTGGATGTCTTTTTGTTGAATCTTCTTGCCAGTGATAGTTAAGAGAGACTATGCATCCCAGCCTTTCAACCAATCCACATAACAGAAGAAAATACAGCTAAAATCTAAAATATAAGCAGGCTTAAAATGTTTTTCTCTGTGTGTTGGAAGTGTAGTGCTCTACATTCTACAAATAAAACTATTTCTCTTATGTTTAAAAAGTTTTTGAAACTAAACTGTCATTAAGCTTCATGTCAAATGTCAGTCTGTGATTAGAAAAGTGATTAATATCCATTTTTAAACAAAATACATAGTTAGAGAGATAGGATTTATCTTATTTAGTGAGACAGACATAAACACAGCCTACAGAAATAAATAAAGCATTTACCTTTAAACAAATACACAAACACTTAACCCGATGGGAAGAAATATAGAAAACTTGGATTTGATCCAGGATCCCTTCCCTCTCTGCAAGCCTTTAACCTACTGACCCCCACTAATATGAACCAAGTCCATAAAGGGGGTGTTTTACTTTTGCAGAGGTCAAAACTTTACTAACGTCGGCTTATTGATCATATGCATGAAATCATTAATTAAATAGAAATGTTATGAATATTGAAATACCTTGCCTGTGCTTCAGTCTTTTATTTGATTATGGTAAAGAAAAAAAACAACAAAGTAATTCTCACACTTAGCACTATTGGATGAAATATTATGTATTCATAACCTCAGATACATTTTGTAATAGCTCTAAGGTTTTAGCATATATTAATGCTTTAAAAAACTGTTAACAGGGTTTTTTGTTTCTTGTTGATTTAAATGTTTAACAGACAGACATTACAAACATTAAACACAAACAAATTGATTTTAGTTCATTTTTAATTCAAATTATGCACATTTATTGAATTTAATATTTTTTATTTAATTAAAGTTCCACAGTTATACAGCAATAAACAATTCTAAGTTTAGTTTCTTACATTTTTCTCCTGAGTCCAGTTCGCCTGCTGCCTCTGCAGGGTTAATGTCCGGAGAGATGAGGGGCCAGCGGAGCTGAACCGGGGGGGCCTCCAGGGGACTCTCTGCAGACGCAGACCGCTGTTGGCCCCGGATAGGAGAGCTGAGCCTGCCTGCACTGTGCAGAATCAAACAAGTGATCAGGATGTCCCATAACCTCATGGTCCACTTCAGTTCGACAGAAGGACATGGCGCGATGTGCAATCCGAGAGTCTCATTTGATGAAAATGAACATAGAAAAAAATGTTTTGAAGGTGATACAGGAAGATGCAGAACACAAAGTTTCTTCAGAGTTTCTCTGCAAAATGCATAAGAAAAATAACAGCCTGAGTTCGTTTAAAATCTCTCTCGTAGGTTCCTTTTGGGAAGGCGAATCTCTAACAGAGAGCAGCCGAACAGAAGCTGGATGGATGTGGAAAGGTGCTGACGTCTAGTGGCCCTTCTGTCTCCTCCCCATGCAGATACCCAGAGGGCTGGCGTTCATATCCAAGGCTGACCCTGATCCACTGTTGCTCCCTGTAGTAGTGGAATTATGTTTTGAGAAAGTTTTGGTGAAGGGCGAGGTTTCACACTTTCCACTTCATTCCACATCCTCTCCAGCTTTGAAACATGTTTCTAATTAGCAGGGGCGTAGCCAGAAAATGTTTATAAGGGTGGCCAGGCAATAACCATTGTAGACTGAGGGGTGGCAGAAAGCGGATAGGCGCCCTCAACCTCAGGGTCAAGCCTAATATCAGAATAACTATACTTTCCTACAGCCTTTGCTAAGAAATAGACGCATGTATTTAAACATCTGTGCTTTCTGGATAAAAGGTATAGTGGATTCAGGTTGGAGTTCTGGGGCGAACATCTTTTCCATTGTCATTACTTACCTACTTTTATTGATAATCATTCTGCATAAAATTGATATTTAGAAGTACAAATATCTATATAAATTGATCATTTAATACAATTTTATTAAAATTGTTATTTATGTATGATTTCACTAAAGACTCCTAAATGAATTGCAGAGACACATTATTTTCTCTTTACTCCATAAAACACAAAATCTAGTTCTAAAAAGAGCATGAATTCTGTATTTATCATCTTTAATGTTAGTGTGACACAATGATGTGTATTCACATTATTGTTTGTTTGATTTTAAGAGAAAGACTGATTTTGGGTAATAATTTGTTTGAGTTGTAGTTGCACACACACACCAGAAGGTGGCACATTGCTCCATGAGACGCCATAGTGAGGCCATAGGCTCTGCTTCTTCAATGCGGCAGAAGCGAGACATGGAGAAACTTCACCCGTCGCTTGTCTCATTTATTCTCCTGTTTTACAGGAACATTTATTCTGCCCAACAGGCCCCAAGCCCGGGTCTGTTACATTAGTACCGGTATATTGATTTGTATAATTAACCACAGTGTTTTTGTAGTCAAGAAATTAGGAATACATGAAAAAATAGTAATATATGAAAAATGAAAATGAGAGTATTACTGCTCCCAACATCTGTATTAGAGGGAAAAAATGGTAGGGGTGGCCACATGGGTGGCCAGTGATTGGCCATCCATCTAGCTCCGCCCCTGCTCATTAGCCAGTAAGCTGTTATTCTAGCTTTGTCCAGATGACTCCTTTCACCACATTCAATTCAAGCTACAATTTAAAGCCGACTAATGATGCATTTACATGATATCCTTATTTGGCATTGTATGGAAGTCTCTTGCTGCAACTTCAGTGAGAAAAAATGTATTTCAAATATTGATATATCAAATTAAAACAATTATTGTAATTCTAAATGACAAGTTAAGGCAATGCAATTTTATTTGTATAGCACAATTTAGTACATGGACTGAATAAAACAGAAAAAAATATAAGCAGGATAAAAGCAAAAAAACATTTGTACAACACAAATATTGTACCACAAAAAAGCAGAATAAAAGGAAGTAAAAAAAAGAAGACAGTTTGTCTGAAACTCTTATTGGTAAAATAAGGTCAGTAAACCCTGGGAGAATGATGGGGAAACTGGAGATTATAGGGCAAAATAACAAGGCCAGCTGACTGAATGAGAGAATCAAAAAAGTTTATTTTTCTATATGTAAAAATATCTATAAATGAAGAGTATTCGCCTTTTTGTGAAACATGATGGTTTCTTTATGACAACGTTGTTAAGACAAGCAAATATTTTGGGGCTAAATTTCACTCATCTAAGATGCTACTAAAATACGATTTAATTCATGGTGGAAAACATGAGAAAGTAGACCTAGAACAATGTTCAGCTCAGAGAAGCTTAACAAAATATGTTTTACAAGAAAAAAAGGAAGCATTTGCTTGCTTTACCATGTTGCCTAGCCAACTTTATGTATAAAGCATCGACCACATTGACACTGATCAGAGCTTGGACTGAGTGACCAAGGTGCTAAACAAGAATGATTTAAAAAAAGCAACAAAAAAAAAAGTAGAATTTAAAGTGAAAAAGTTTGAAATAGAAATAAAATGAAATGAAAACATGATATTATGACACAGACTGGAAAAATAAATAGAATAAAATCATCAACTTATATCAGGTCAAATGCCAATAAAGCGGCTTTTTGGAAGACAGTAACAAAGATTCCATAGTTTAGAAGCTTTAATGGTAAAAGCCCAATCTCCCCTTTACTTCTGTGTACCCAAAACCTTAAACAACATCTGATCAAAGAGGTATGGAGGGGCATAAGCAAGGCCATTTAAATACCTAAAACAAATGAAAGCTTGTTAAATGAACTCCAAAAAAGGTGTTATGTTATTTGTCAGAGAGACTGTCTTCACACGAAGAAGACCCACCAGGGAGATTAGACTAAAGATCATCACCTAAGTCTTCTTTTCATTGAAACTGAAAAAAGTTAGAAGACACCCAAGATTTGAATTCCTTATGAAATGTGATCAAATCTTCCATACAAAATGTATCTTCCTGTTTAAGTGGGACATAAACATGATTATCATCTGCATAACAATAAAAAGCAATCCAGTGCTTTCATTAAAATTGAGTCAAGGGGCGGGAAACACATGGAGAATAACAGACATCCTAACCGAGGGCCTAACAGTTAAAGCTATAACTGAAATAACGTCTTTAACATCAAGGGGGTATAGCATCAGCAGGAGAACCTGAGAGCTTTAAATGATTAACAAAGTCATTTAATGAAGATAAAGTCATAGTTACGAGTGAAAGTCAGCAAAACAAGGAACCAAGACAAAATCTTAAAAAGTAAAGAGGCATATAGGAGCCCTGATATGTTCGCTTTTTCTTCATAAAGTACATAAATCTCTCGCATGCCTCAAAGGAAGGCTCAAATTTAAGCATTTTAAATGCATTCAAAACAGAATCACTGATTTTATGTAAACCTGTGAGTGGGAGGGTTTGTCACATTGACATTCAATGCTTTCTTTTTGCATATTTCACAATTGCGTGATATAAATGCCAGCAGTGCTGCAACATGTCAAAAGAATTAAAATTAAGGTATAGTGAGAATATAGACCAAGTTATTGTCGATGTTTTCAGTTAGTTTCAAGTTAGTTTTAACCAGCCAACTATCTATGTGTTGATTAACATATGCTTATGCTGGATAGTAAAGATGTTCACAGATTTTCCAGATTTTCACATTATTTCAGAATCTCTTAGCCTCTAACCCTGATTTACATTTCACACATCTATACAGGATCTGTTTACTTGCATAAAAATAATTCAGGAAGAGCTGATCCCTTCAAAACCTCTGATCTGAAAAAGATTTTAATAGACCTTATCTTTTGAGAAGGAATTACTCAGCCATTAGTCATCTCAAGACCAAATGTCCTAACTTGTGTGTTATAGTGATTCACCAATATCAAGTTACCTTTGTCATGATCTTGGCACTGATGACTGGCTTAATGGGTCATTCCATTCACCTGCCTAGCTCCACCCAGTTTCTCATCACTGTTCATCTATTTCACCTGCTCTAGTCTCTATTTAAACTGCCTGCTTGCAGTCATCAGTGCCAGATTATTTGGGCCTGCGGTGAGAGTTCTCTAGTGAGCCTGTTTGTTATTCTGATTGCCAGATCCTGACCAGTTCTACCTTCAGGCCTCTGAGTCTGCCTGTTCCTGTTTCAGATTTGTTTGCCTGACCTGTCTTCAGACTCCTGCTGGTTTCTGCCTGTGGATTAAACCTGGATCTGCCTCCTGACTTCGACTTGGATTTCCCCTCTGTACCTCTTTGGATCTCTGATCTTCTGTCCTGGACTCCTGTTAACCTCTTCGACAATGGCTTTGACTTTGTCTTCTGGAAAGTCCTGCCTTCCTTCGTCTGCTTGGATCTGATCATCAGCCAGTTCAGCAGGCTTCTAGGCTTCTGCTCCTGGAACTTTCAGGGCGGCGTTTGCCGCATGCTGGTGGTCGCTATCCGTCTGGATTCTCGTCCTTCTTCTGGGCACAGACCCAGACCCAAAAACTAGATTAGTGACTCACACGCCCGTAATTGTCTTGCGTCCGATTTACGTGGTCACTAACCTGACATTTCTGTCTACAGAGATTATGGCTTTTCAATGTCCTACCTGCTGACTTGCAGATCCGACATACATTAATAAACAGTTTTGTTAATGACATCTATCTGTCTGTTTGACTTCGGGGTCCTTAGTACTGACAACCTTCCTCTTAAAAAAAGAAAAAGAAAGAAAAACGTGTCAAAGAAGTTATCTAAAACCATTGAGTTCTTGGAACGAACAATGTCTTGGTATAAACTTTCAGATGAACTCATTGGGATTGTCTAATTTTAGTAGAAATTAAAACAGTCTCCTCTGTTACAGTGAACATAATTCTTTACGGCAAAGATCAGCCGATCTAGAGGTAATAGTAAGATAATTACATCTTAAGATGTCACTAAAATACAAGAAATGTATATTTATGCTTAGTAGGTTTATCCTCTTTTATAATTGGGGTGTTTCAAAAATAATGACAGATGAGATTAGAAATCCAAGCTATGATTTAGCAAAAGCAGTAAGTTCCCATCGCAAGCATAGGTTATGAATGGATTAAAAAGCACATTTTTCTTGACCCAATGCTGTGTTTAGAAAGTAATCAACACCATGTGCTGTTTGTTGCCTCTGCGGCCTGGGGGTGAGAGTGATCAAACTACCAGAGCTGTGAGAGTGGATGCCGTTCACTTCCTTTAACCACAGGGAATTAAATGGTGTTGAAGGAATGTCAGTAACAGTTGCAAAGTTTTATAAAGTTTACTTTAGATTTTTCTCGAGTAAGAGTGGAGCTGAATCCCTGGGACAGCTTCTTACCAATTAGTTTAAGAATCGTAGTTTTTAAACTAACTGTATAATAATGTAAGTCTGAAAATAATCTTAAAACATTATTTTTAGCTTCATCAGTGCCATGATGCCATTAGTGGATACTCTTCATTTGTGCTACTATCACTGGACACATTGAAAGTTGGTGTGGCGGAGACCACATAATTATTGCAGGAAGAAAAATATGTATTTTTTAGGATCTGCATTTAATTCATTTGGAAAATAATGTATCTTCTCATTTTAAATTGACTTGTTAGATACTTTAATGCAAAAATTGTAACTTTGTCCATGTCTGCTACTGTTTTTTTTTTTTTATTCTGTCCATGTGAGTTCCTCTACTGTAAGTATTTGTCCAGTAGAGGGAACCATTGAGCTCAATTTGTGGGGATCAGTGATTTCCTTGGAAAACTCATCATCCTAAAATACTAAGCTGCATATTTAAATTCCTGAATATCCAAGTGTCTAAACAAATTATTCCCAATGTCACACCTAATAACAGTTTAATAAACTGAATTAATTTCATTACATTTACAGTAAGCTATTTTTAATGAATACTTCTGATTTAAATATATCTTATACTTTTCAATAAAATTTGAATTTACGAGAGCCAATTGTAAATGTGTGAGAAACTAAATCTGCATTATAAATTCCACTGTCGCAACAGAGACCGTCTAGCCATTGAGAATTAATGTTGACATTTGACCTTAAAAATATTTATGAACCACTATAGATAAGATTTTCCTCTATAGCATGTAAGAGCATTTTTTTTTCTTCCAGTTTTTTTTTTTTTTACATTAAGTTACTTTAAGTAGTGAGGAACACTACCTCTTATGAGTAATATACAATTCATTTGAGTTAAAGATATAATAAACTGAATCCTCTGAACATTTCTTGGAGAGCCGAGATTAAGACAGTATGATCCTTTAGTTTTGGGTATTATAATTACCATTAACATTACTGACATTGAACAGAATTATGCTTTTTGACAGGGTTATTTATGGAGCTGTCAGTGCCTTGCATTATGTGACAGTTTTCTAAAAGATGAAAGCCATTACTGAAAGAGAATGAAAGGCAACATTTTATTGAATGTCGTCTATGTTTCAATCAGCCACAGGCCTCAGGGGAAACATCAGGAAGACAGGCATTTTGTTCAATTGGAAAACAGTTCAGAAGAATTTGCTTCAACCAAGACATTTTTATGGTGACATTTTCTATGCTTTTAACTACTTTAATGTGCCTGACTGCTGGCCTGATGAGCTGGATACTTTGGTGAACCATGTTCATTCACCTTTTTAAAAGCTAAATTCATGAGAAACCTCTGTTTTTGACTTTTCTATGTGTTACGGTAACCATGCCAATGGTAACAGATAATGTTTTGTAATAAAACTGTAATAAAATGTGATAAAACACCAAAGACAAAATGGGAAATCAAATTAAAATCAAACGATTTTAAAAGTGTACCAAAACAGGTGTCAACAAATATTATTCAATAAGAAACATATAAAGTAATGGTTGCAACTATGACACAAATAAAAATGACATAGGTGACATCTATTCAAAACAAATTTAGATACTTTGGGACTAGATATGAACATCTAATATGTTAAAAGATATGAAAAGATACCAACAAGAAAATAGATATCTGCAAGGAACAGATTACATGCTAAATTATGACAGTCTACTGGTTCATCAAAGTGGAATTCTTTAAATTACTAGTGTGAATTTATCATTTTCTTTAGTGGGAGGGTATGTAAACTTTCAAGTACAGCTGTATTTAGATCTCACATTTACATCACAATGTTCCTGAACAGTTCAACAAGAAAATTGTCAATTCTAAATTATTTTATTCCATACTGTAAGGCAGTTTTAGAAAAAATACATAAAATAAGTGTCAAATGAATCTATTAATTTCTGGATACTTCATATAATAAGGGCGAAGCACATTAATCTGAAAGTATAACGATCTTGGTTCTGCTGGTTTTCAGTTTCACGTTTATCCATGTTTTTCTTTGTTTTCTAGCTTTATTGGTGTGTTCTGGATTTATTTAAGTTTCTTAGGTTTTTCTTTGCTTTTCCTCTGATGCCCTCTTGCGTTCTCCTTTTCCCTAGCTCCTTTCCTGTTCTGCTCTGCTCACACCTGCTCCCAATCTGCTCGTTAGTCCTCTCTTTTTTTCAGTCTCCCATAAATACACTCCTTATGCAGTTCCTCATTGCTGGTTCCTCGTCTTATTTTGTCTCATCCCGGCACCTTGTGATAGTTTTCTCCTGCTGTCTCCATGGTTCTGGTTAATGTTTAATTTTTATGTTGGATTTTTGGACACTTGTTTTTGTTTAACATTTTTAAGTTGGACTTTTGGATTCCTGTTTTTGCTACCTGTCTTATCCCATTAAATCATCAAAGAACTCACCTCTGCCTCTCAGCCTCTGCATGGGTCCTCACAAAAACCTCCAAACAAACTGTGACAGAAAATGCATCAGGCACTGAAACACTTGGATCACTTGCTTGAAATAGTTTGAAGCAAGAGAGACTCCTTGCTTCAAACAAAAGTTCTCTGTTTAATATAATTTTCTATCTTTTGAGCCTGCCGAGCCACTTGGAGGTCGAGGTAACAGTAATAGGTATACATTATTATTAGAAGTACTTTGTAACCAAGATTCATTATTGTTTGTATTTTTGTCAGTAAAGAATTGCTGCCCTAGCTGTGAAAATTCCAATGTGCCTGTATTGAAACAGGATGGACTGTACCCATTGAGGGAGGATTAGGATTGTGTGCCCTTCGGTTAGCCATTCAGGGTGGTTCCCATCTCTAAGCAGCTGGTTCATTTGTGCTGCCAGGCATTCATAGAGTGCTGTGAGTTTCTTTAGCCAGTAGGTGTGTATCATGTCTGGGCCTGGTGCTGTCCAGTTTTTCATACCTGAGACTCTTTCTTGGATGTCACTGTGATGGTGACTGGATTCTGTTCAGGGAAGATGCGGAAGTCGTCTCTCAGAGCAAACAACCACTGTGCATCACTGTTGTGTGCTGCCTCCTCCCATATTCCTTTCCATTACTGTTCAGTTTCCAGCCTTGGTAGGACTGTTCTACTATCGCTCCCCTGCCACTGAGCGTACCCTTTCGCTGGTTGAATTGCAAATTGCCGATTTACCCATCTGGCTTCCTTGTCTCTCATGTACCTCTTTAGGTGGCTAGCCAAGGTTTGGAGCCTTTGCTTGACAGTTTCCAGTGCTTCAGATATGGGCATCTGGTACTGGCAGTCATCATTGTATTAGGTAGGCATTAGCGTGAAGAGTCATGCCTAAGGATCCACACTGGCAGCTTTCTCTTCCCCAAACCAGGACCTTTACTTGACTTATTACTTGAGCTCATGTGAACGGCTTTATATATATATATATATATATATATATATATATATATATATATATATATATATATATATATATATATATATATATATATATATATATATATATATATATATATATATGTATATATATATATATATATATATATATATATATATATATATATATATATATATATATATATATATATATATATATATATATAAAGCCGTTCACATGATATATATATATATATATATATATATATATATATATATATATATATATATATATATATATATATACGCACCTTTTCCTCCTTTTGGAACCTTCTTCTTTTTGACTAATGAGCCGATGTAATGAGTAAATTCCTCCACTGTGAGATCAATAAAGTCAATCAATCAGTCTGTAACAAACATTGGATATTTTTAATGCCACATCTTGATTGTAAAGGTAGAATAATGTCAAAAACTAAGCAGCAGATTAAGTCTTGATTTGTACTTACCTGTGCTATTTTGTGTTTTACTAAATCCAAACAGTTTCAATGCACATTATGTTATAAATCATAGGTTTGCATCTTCTCTGTTTACTCTATGGATTAACCCTCATTGTTATTTTTTTTTAAGTTTGCCTATTGGCTGTAGTGTACTTTTGGTTTCTATTTTGCCAGACTTTTACACTATAGGATTGGTGTGGTAAAAATATATCCAGACGATGGCTTATTAGGAACATTTGCTCCACCCTTTGCCTCTATCATGACTTACAGGATGTTTTCAGAATGTTAGGGCAAAATACAGCACGAAAAGTTATTCTTTTTTCATTCTTTCTGATTATGTATTTGCAGTTTTTCTCCATTATTTGACTTCGAACGTGTTGTTCTTCTTTATACCTTTAAAGTAGTATGATCTTTTTATTTATTAATTTTTTAAGTTTAATTAGTTTTTGATTCTGTGAAATTTCTGTTAATGACAAGAAAAAAACAAAAAAACATCTGAGCCAGGGACTGTCTTTAGGATCGTGTCCAATTTTTCTTTCACTTTCAATCAAATTTGGAAACAAAAGAAGAAAAAAACAGAAAAAAACAAACAAAAAAGAATAAATCTGACTGTACAAATCTAAAGTGATCTCCTAACCAAACCACACAATCACAGCATTAATATTCAGTCTGTTGTTTGAGCTTCTTCCCCCGCTCCTACTCCAAAGCATGCTCTCCATCTGTGTCCAGTGTGCGGATTAGACGCTTATTATCCTCTTAGCTCTAATTGGCCCAACATCCATTGCACTTGGTTGTGTGGCTGTCTAAAACGAGCCGGAGCGTGACACGACAGCGATCTCCATGAGTAAAAACCACCGTTAGCGCCATTCATCGGTGTTCGTGAAGAACAATCAGCGGCTGAATTGTGTGGACAAATCTTTCCATCGTCTATCAGAGCGCCTGTCAGGGGAGCATGCTCAATGGGCTGTTTTTCGGTTCATGACCCTCCCCAGTGATCTTTTGCAGACTGTAATCTTATCAGTCTCAAACCGCGGCTATTCTCTCCTCCGCGGCCAACTCTCATGCGTATTTGGAGCGCGCATTTGGATAACAGAATAACTGAAGAGCTTTTCTTTAAGACAACTCCCCCATTCGCAAAACATCTAGTTAAAAGAAAAAGTTAAATGCTCTTTTTTGTTTGGACGTGTCCTAAAATGCGGATTTGACCAAGCAAAGTTATGGATCTTACATGTAAAGAAAAAAGTCTTCTATACTTCATTTTCTTGTCTATCTGCTCTGCCAGCGTTTCTGTTGGTGCCAGAAGATCAAATGCGCGGAGATCAGGTGAGTTCAGTGTAGTTTCACCTTCTACAAACTATAGCAGCTCTGGGAAAATTAAACCTAGTGCTGAGATATAGAGGACCTAGAGAGTAAATGTAAAAGAAAACATTTAAATCCATTTTGAAAAGCATTTCATAATAAATTTAATTCAGAGGAATTGTAAAATGTATTTATTAATCCACCATTAAATGCTGGAATTTGATCATGTATTTTCAAATCCAATTTCAAAATGGAAATTTTATCCCAAAAAATCCTGAATATGAATTTAAATACCTTTCCTAATAAGAAGTTTATTTATTTATTTTTTTTTTCCATTTCCATTCTCCTTTTTGTTTTACATTGTCTTTTTTCTTCACCTTCTTCATTTACCTTTTCTGTTACCCTTCTGATCCCAGAGATCACTGAAAAGCAGTTGCTGTTGTTTCAACATCATTATGTTATTTTCTCTGAAGTGGCAGATTATGCATGAATGGAAGAGTCTCTCCTTGTTCCACACCTATTTCCTTCACTTTGTGAAAAACATAATTCCATCCATCCATCCATCCATCCATCCATCCATCCATCCATCCATCCATCCATCCATCCATCCATCCATCCATCCATCCATCCATCCATCCATCCATCCCTGTGAATAATGTTCAGAGAGAAGGGGAAATAAAGGTTTCTAAAAGAGCTACGCTTTGTTCTAACTTAAAAGCAGTCTTCACAGTTGTCATCTTTGCCGAAATCCTTCAATTTAAACCCTAATTAAACCTAATTTTTTATTGGTTTCTATATTTCTTTGTTTCTTTGTCCCACTTCTTTTCCTTTTCCCTCCATCCTTTCCCCTTTCGCTCCCTGTCATTCTCTTTGACCCCTGTTTTTTTTTTTTTTCAAACCTCACACTGCTGCGTTCACACCGGGGGCAGCAAAAGCAGCAAAATCGCGTCTGCTGCTTCATTTTTGCTGCTTGTACCAGTGAATTCTGACGCGCGTCTGAAGCAGCTTTGCTGCTCTCGCTGCGCGGTCCAAAAGTGGCTCTGACGCGCGTTGGGCGGAGCTTCACTATCCTTTCTCTGCCTTGCAGCTATATTTGCTGTGATCAGTGGGAATAAAGTAGTTTTAATATGTTTTTAAGTGAGAAAATACACCTGAAAACTTAATCAGTGGAGTCAGTTCATCCAGATTACAATCCTGCCTCCCAATGTTATTTCTGTCGGAGCCGCTCAGACCCCCACATACCGGCGGTGCGCCGACAGAAGGAATCCATTCATCAGCAGCCTCTGGTCGGGTCGCCTCCTCGCGGTTTACCGCGGTGGCTGGTAGGTGTTTTTCATCTAAATAATCCGATCTGCAGGCACCAGAATAATAAAAGCGAACATATTCTGCCGGCAGATGTATATATTTTAAGTTAATTATGCTTTAATAAACTGTTTAAGAGAAGTGATCAGAGCAGTCTGTGTCATCAGCGCTGTGTCTCTCTCCCAGCCAGCTCCCAGATCAGCTTCTCTGATTGGTTGACGCGGCGCGTCGAGCAGCAAAAATTCAATTTTTCCATCTCGAGCAGCAGCGCGTTTGCGCGCGTCACGCGCGTCAGATGCCAAAACGCGCCCGACGCGCTGCTTCAGCTGCTCAGACGCGCTGCGCTTGCTGCTCGAAACGCGCCGCGGGACTTTTTGCTGTGCCTTGACGCGCGTCAACCATTGACTTTGCATGTAAACTCGCTGCTTCTGTCGCGCCAGCTGCCCCCGGTGTGAACGCAGCATCAGACCCTCAGGGCCAATGTGGGTTGACTTTTATGCTGTCTGCATAGTGCCCCTATCATGGCTTAGACGGCCAAACAAACAGAACACCGGGCTGATGTAGGTTGCATTCTATGACTGCCAGTGACATTTGTATGTTTGTTTATATTTTATTTTTTATGTTTTGAGGACTTTCTTATCCTGTTCTCACGGAGGGTAAAATGTCAACAGGACTCGGTGTCCACATGAATCACATCAGCTTTTAACAAAAAAGCAGGTGGTTTCAGAATAGGGTCGACATTGAACAAAGCTCTTCTTCAAGGTTGTCTTTGTTTTTTAAATTCCCTGACAACTTCATTCCCCAGTTTGAATAGACAGCTAAATTATTAATGGAATAATTTAGAGGCTTAGATTTTTTTTGCTCCTACTGATATGCATATCTAGCATTATGAAGTGAGAACCATGCATTTTCATGAACCTTCCAAGAACACTTCTTGCCCTTCACCTTTTCTGACAGCGAAACTATTAAGATACAATTAAGACAAGGAACAGTTACTAATGTTTAAAAACAGTACTTTTTTTTCTTATTCCTTCAAAATCTCACTCTATTCTGTTTAAGAAAAAAACAGCTGCATGTAGCACAGTGATTATTTTCATTTGGCTGACTAGAATATTGGAAGAAGACCATTTCAACCCAACTGTGAAGGTGGAGAGAAAAGTAAAGGGCCATGTTGCTTATGGATGCTGCTATTATGTTTTTAAGTATACAATTACTGCCAAGAATGCATATAAAAACATTACTTGGGAGGTTGCTGTAACTATAATAACTTTCAGGACAATTGATTTCTCCATTACCGAAACAAGTTGCTCTCATTTGTAACCACAAACCCCTCTCGAGTTCCACTATTTAATGTTAGAAAAAAAAAGGAAACATGTAAAACAATAATAAATTGAACCTAGAATTTAGAAAGTGAAATTGTATATGTGGTGATTTTTTTATGTGAATCAATATTCTAGGTTTATGATAATGAAAAAATTATTTAGTCGTTCTTGGGGCTGGATCTAAAAACCTGACAGGCAGGATGGAACAGCTAAATGTGTGAGAGGGTTTAAGAAACCAGGTTGTGGAAGACTTAAATGAAAAATACACGAAAGCAATGGAGCAAGATGAAGGCTACACAAATGGGAAGGAAAATTCTAAGCAAGTAATACCCTTGGAAGTGTAAACTAATCAAAATTAACACTAAAATTGCAGAACTCGTGACATTTTATATAAATATTCAGTTCCATACAGTTTCTGAACAAAACTGATATTTATATTTCTATAAGTATTTGCCAATAGTTTTGATATCATCATTTGCTTAAAGTAAAAGGACTCATTTTTTTATGTAATAACTTTTACTAAACATCTATATTAAGCCAGTCAGGATGATCTGTCATAATAACGTACAGGAAGAAGAAGGGCCTTATTTCCCAGACATTAAGATTTTTTGTGATACAAAAGGCATATAAACTCTGTAGAAAATTGATTTTTCAAGATCCTGACTTGTAAGAAAGTGACTTTATACGCTTTGTTAGGTGTAAAAGATAGCAGTTTGCAAGTGCAATAATACTATAATAATACCTTAATTTTTTAGGAGGCATGGGACGTGGTCTGCTGAAAGTGTTGATTTAACATGAACACAGGTAAATTTGAGGAAAAGGGGGGTAACTACAGAACACTGAAGCATAGGGGCAGCAGTCCAATGTTGTGGGGAAGTTCTGGAATAGCAGGAATCGCAGTTAAAAAAATGAAATGACATCATGAAATAAGCCCTCTAGAAATAATGAAGTAACATCTCAAATTACTACTGAAAATTTTAAACTTAGTCAGAAATTGGTCAGAAGTGGGTCTTGTAAGGCCAAACAGCGGTCATTCTATCAGAAAAAATAGGTACAAAGCGAATTTAGTAAGTGATATAGGGTGGACATAAGACATCCCAAAAGCTTGGAAAAGCTGTAAGTAAGCAAGGCAGTATATAAATTTAATACAATTTTACCAGCTCAGTCAGGAAAAGTGGGACAAAATCACAGCAAACTATCCTGAGAAGCTTGTGGAAGAAATCTAATTTGTACAGTTTAAAGGTAATTCTACTGAATATTTAGGGTATATGTACACTCTGTATGAGGAGTTTGAAATATACTGAGGTTTAATGTCAGACTGTAAGATAAAGAGGTTATGTCACTTCTTATACAGTGTAATACAATTCATTCAACAAGCCACAATTAAAATACTGTTCAACAAAATCTGTCTACCAACCACTGCCCTTACAACAAAACCACTATTTTAGTTTTAGGTGTATGATTTTGATTACAGATATTAAAGCCCTTCAACTTGGATCCTCTAAGGACTTTACTTTTGCACATTACGTGGCTAGGTCCCTTGAATGTTATAAAGAAGATCAGATTTGCACTTGTAATATGTCAATCAAATTTGAACACTTGTTTAATTGTGTAGCCTGGGGTTGGCAATGGAAGTAGACTCATTTGATCCAAAACGTTACATTTATACATCTAGAAGTTCTGCTACATCATTGTTTTGTATAGGTTAGCATTTATTAGCACAGCAGCCATCTTTAAATAGGTATGTATGAATTTAAAAAGTATTATAATCTTTGTCAATATAATCTTCATTTCTTTCTTTCTTCATAATATTTTGCTCCTGGGTTATATGTTTTTTACATGCAAACTGATGCTCCATCCATCCATCCATCCATCCATCCATCCATCCATCCATCCATCCATCCATCCATCCATCCATCCATCCATCCATCCATCCATCCATCCATCCATCCATCCATCCATCCATCCATCCATCCATCCATCCATATAACCAATAGGTTTCCTAGGTTTGCTCTGTTTTATGGATAAATGTAGCTTCTAGGCCTGGAAAATAACCACTAATAACCAACAGTAACCAGATTTTCAGATTTTCCAGAAATTATAAGAAATTTTAAAATATTCTATGTATTTATCGCCAAAGCATTTTGTCACTTCATCGACTTTAAAAGTACTTTTTATTTTATTTGCAATTTGAACATCTAAAAAAGGTATTTTTATCTTTATGCTACACTAACAATAGAGTTTTATGAAAAAAATTTTAGTTACCCCTATTTAATTTTTATGTGAAAAACTGAAACAAATTTTTACTTGAAGAAAATATAACTATTTCAGAATTTCAGGCATGGATAAACAATGGCAATACATAAGGCTGACAGGATAAGAGGCTAGGAAAATATTAATTCAGTTGTCTCTATCATGTCTGAAGTGGACAGCAGCCTCAAAGGATTTAGAAGGGCACTTGGTAAACAGAGACCAGGGGTGATTCTGAGATTATCTTCTTGATTAGACAAGAGGTCATGTCTCAGACCTTGCAGAGTATTACTATATGTACGATGTGTTGATGTAGAAAAAAAACATGATCTACAGCATTAAATGTAACCTTACTAATTAAAGCTACTGAGTCTTGAATCCTCTGATATCTACTTTTCATTGTCAATCTTTAGGGAATCAGAAAAATATGTTTAGGGCATGAAAGTATTGCTTTTCTAAGTTAAGTGGAGAGTTTTGTGGTTATATTAATTGATATCTGACAATCTCACAATTTACATTTGAAAAAAAGATTAAAGCAATAGTACTTTAAAGCTTGGGGTTAGCTATTGTAAAATTTTTCCTATCTTTAAAAGATTTCAAAAAATTCATCTATTTTTTTATATCCCAAATGAACTATTAACTCATTATGTGTTGGAGTTTGTCAGGGATGGTCTGCACAACTGCAGTTGGTCTTGAACAGGATTCGGCAACCCAAAATGTTCAAAGAGCCTTACTGGACCATAAAAACAAATCTGTCCAGAACCGCAAAAATAAAAATTTCTTATATAAGCCTCCTAAGGGCTCTAAGTGTATATTACCCCACTATCAAAATTGTTAACTAGGTTTAAATACATAATAAGCATTCCTGATTATAAGTTTATTTTCCCTGCAGCGCATCCTGGAGAAAATGTCACACCATGTGACTAATCTGCTGCATGATATTTGGTGCTTTAAGTTTAACTTCCATTACATTATTATTGTATTAAGGTTTTTTTTTGCATCAATAGAAATTAGGGATGCACGATATAATCGGCCCCCTATCGGTATCGGCCTGTATCGGCCTTAAAACTGAATATCGGACATCGGCCACCCCACCGATATTTAACCCGATATTTGATCAGCTTCTGAGTTTCTCAAGTCTAAAAAAAAACAAAAAAAACTACTTCTTCTTCCTCAAAAACTTATTTTTTACAGACTTAAAAACTTCTAAAGACGAGGGAAAAAATATTGATATATTAAAGTATCACACTATCTTCATATGCTGATATATTGCCATTTAAAAACACCATATCAATCTCTTTTACTAATGAAATATTGCTATATGTCATCGTTATGCTACGAAATCCCCCGAAAATTCAAGAAACTTTGCCATATTTTTATATGTTGATATATTGACACGGTATCGATCTATTTTACTAACAAAATCTCACAAGAATTTGCAAAATATCACGAGAGTTTGTAACAGAACGATGCATGCGCAAACAAGGATTCTTCTTCTTCTTCCTCTCAAATGAATACACAGAAGCATGGCGGGGGTGCAGGTGAAATGGAGTTCTTTCTGTAAAATTTAAAGACTGTAGTAGCCACATTTGCTCAGCCATGTCTTTGTGCAAATATGTCGTTGCCTTTTCTTTTTAGCGCTTTCAGGACAAAATTGCCCAAATTGCCAAGGCAGCGCATTGCACTCTAGTGAGCTTCAGATTCCTCTTCTCATTTAGCTTCCGGATAGACGAGTCTGAGTAGCGCCATCTCACTGTGGAGCTGAGTCCGACGTGGTTTTTAGACATACAGTGAGAGCAGGTAGATTGCATCAGAGCGTCGTGCTAAACATGCATCGTGAGCTGTGAACTCACGCTGTACGACGAAACCATTTGCAAGGTTTGAAAAAAATGCAGTGTATGCCTGGCTTAAGCCTATAGCAGTATAACTTTAGAGATAGCTCAGGATAACCTAAGCCACTCTAACTATAGGCTTTTTCAAAAAGCAAAGTTTTAAGCCAAACTAAAAAGCTTGAACATATTTCTGCTGTTCTTCCTGTTTTTCACCTCTCTTTACTACCTCACTTTTGAATTGATTTTAAAGTTTCATCATTGACTTGTAACACACTGGGAAAACATGATTTAAGCTGTATTTCTGACCTCCAGTAGCATTACGCACATTTGAGTTCCCTGAGATCTACGGTCAGTTGCTTTTAGTTTTACTAACCTTTATGCTGGCCTGTTGAACTAATCAGGCCTTTGGATCATTTTATAATTGTTGACAATTCCTTTCATTCCATCTGTGACTGCATCTGCATCCTGCAAAGGGAAATTAACACTTTGAAAATAGTCAACTATAGAAACAATTTGTTCTTTCAGTGCTCCACAATTGAGCTCTCAGTGATGAAAGAGCACAAAAAACCACCAATCACTAATACATTTACATTTAATTATGTTTTTTTTTTTACCTCTTGTTTCTAACTAATCGGTTGACAAGGAAGACAAATTAAGGTTGTTAAAGTCCATTTCATTAAATGATTCCCTTAATCTTTGAAATATTAAGTGACTATCATGACAATATTATCAAATATTCTTTAGATATAGCGACTGACAAAATGTGGAATGTTTGGATTCGGGTGTCTCTGAATTTGTCAAATTAGAGTTTCACTGTTAACATTTTTTTGTTTTCATGCATTGTATGAGAGAGATGGAGAGTGCGATGAAGGGATGCCAGATGGAGTCTGGAGATGTATAATACAGAAGTGGAGTGTTAATGGAGATTTTGCAGAATGTTGTCCTATTAAGCATTTAGGCCTAAATCATACATTGCACGTCTCCACCAGCAGTTTTCAGTTTTTTGATAAGTGATTTAAAAAAAAACAACTATATTTTTATAGACTTTATTTTTATTCCTGTAACAGTGCAACCACTGTGTTTACAGTTCTTGTAATTCATTCTCCACTGCATTGCTTTTACTGGTCCTTTAATTCTGCTTCTAAGCCCTCAGTAAGCATAGCCTTCCAAATATGTAAAGTTATACTTCCTCATTTTGAATGCCTTTATTTGCGAATGAAAATCTGACAAGCGTGTGAAGTCTTATTCTTATATGGCATTAATGGGGTGGTAATCATGCTAATTAGTATTTCATGGAACACACACTCCCTAACACACAGGGCAACTGCATCAGCTTTTGTTGTGCAGTACAAGACCCAATGATCTTAACTCTCTATGGCATGATTTTTTATTTCAGGCAGAAAAAAAATGCTTCACCCTAGCTTTTGGGCCCTCGGGGATCCCTTATAATATATCAATCATAAAATGTGTACCTCTCTTCACACGCTGATGCACATATGCACGCGCACATTCTTGTCTTGCCTGATCTTCATTGATTTTCAGTCATTTTCAACCCTTTCTATTCCCTGAGCATGTCAATAAGCATGAACCGAACTATTACCAGTGCATAGTATGGTAATGGTTTTGCATTTCTTGTAACAGTAGATAGTACATAAAAAATGTTATTATGGTTATAACTATGCATCTCTGTACCTCTCATTTCGTGACCATGTTATTGTACAAACAATAGTGATCTAAGTGCACAGTGTTGCCCAGAGGCAAGGAATGGAAAAACTACCATTTGAATGTATTGTGATTAAAAGGAGTTTTTACTCAGTCAAATCTGCTTCTTCACATATTCATGTGCATCACAGCTATTATTAATGCAAATTCAAAAAAGTTTTGAATTCTTAAAAAGTGAAATTTATCACCTTCTGCTAGCAGTGTGTCCCTGCTTGCAATGTTTTACCCTTAGATGAAAGCTCAAAGCTTTTAAAGTGATGTTTAACTTAAAAAAAATCCTTTCCCCTGGGTGACAAAGTCATAGGTCTGCTGCAAAACCTATATTTTGTTGCTGCGATACAAACAAAGCATAAACAGAGGTGTTCTGGAGTACTGCAGTCTTTAAACAGTGGTTATGTTTGTATGTCTATCCTCTTTCACTCAAGGTTTATGGTATTTATTCTCCATGTTAATAACTGACTTTAACTCTTAAATAATGCAAATATGAAATTATATTTAATGCTGAAAATGTAATACATTGAAAAAGAGGATTGGAAATGATTGTGTTTTAAGTCCTGGCTCAGTTCTAAGTAAATATAATTGTTTTTCATATTTTTTGTATATTTTCTCCCTTAAACTGATTTTATCTACAGTTATATGGATGGAAAAAAAAAACCTCTAAAACAATAAGCTTGTTTTTCAAGCATTTCATATTTCATGTTTTGACCTCTTTCCATTGCAAACCCATTAGAAACTATAAACAAATGTAATTAGATCTTGGTCAGTCAGAAAAAATCCTCAACATTTCAAATTACCCGTCTGTTTTCCTGGTGTTATTTTGCTGGTTTTCTCGCCGATTCTATCCATGTTTATGTTTGTGTAAACCAGAACGTCTAAGTCCTCCATTAGACATCCAGCTGGAGACACTCAACTGTAGCGCCTTCAGTGTGCGATGGAAGATGCCCCGCAGACATGTCAGCACAATCACTGGATACAAGGTAAATACAAACAGCTTCTACATGCATGCATGCATAGTACAATAGCTGCTATACACTCCACACATTTTATGATAAAAGTGTGTTTTTAAAAAAATATTTCTGTCTGTTTTCATCTATCTGCTGGTGTTTGGTGAAGATGACTTATTTATTTTAATTTAAATTTTTTTTTGAGTGTTGAAGTCCTTCCACCACATCAGAACATGATAAAGAAAATGAGACAGAAAAAACAGAAACACATTTTGAATCCTCAGAAAGGTTTTGAAAAATAAATCAAATTTCCACTTTTTTTCCTTGAGTGGCTGCTTATTTCTTTCTGCATGGCAGACACACTTTTCTCTGCCTCTAAAGTGCCCATCCAACCAAGTGTCCAGGAAGATGGCCATGAGGAATAAGGACACACTATTTTTAACTTTCATGTGCTTGAAGGAACTCTTTTATCGTCGTGCTTATATCTTTCTTTCTCAGGTGCAATATTGGTTGAAAAGATGCAGTCAAATAGAACACACAGTACATACAGTAAAAACCATAGACATAGGATTTTTTAAATGTTTTTCTTGTACAGACGTATTGTGATTTTCTTTTAATCATTACAAAACTATTGTGTCCATGCTTAGTTAATGCATACTTTCCATCATTTTTATAATGCACCTTTTCAGGACTGGTCATGCTTTTGCGCTTCTCCTTTAAGCTTTCGTAACAAACGCTAGAAGTTTCTGTCCTTCACTCCTTGAATAAACCATTAAGAAATTGTGGATCAGTATAACTGTGTGGGCTGTAGCTTTGGCCATATGTCTGCACTAAGAGGATTAGTTTGGACAGCAGCTTCCAAAGAACTTAGTGGGAGGCGAATGTGTTTTGTTTCTTTTTTGGTTTATTAAAATATGTTTTTCCTTTTATAGACTTTTTTTATTAGCCATATATAAACTCTCCCTGTTTTGCCCTTATAACACAATAACTAACTAAAAACAATGGATTTATGTGTGTCGACTGTTCAGATCTTTTACACAGAGATAAAGAATGGACACCCAGTTAGTACAACATCCATCATGGAAGTGCCTCTGAGTTTGGACATGCTAACCACTGTGAGTACACACTAATATATTTTTTCTCTTCAAAGCCTTTCCCAAAACTATGTACACTATACTTCTATTTTTAAAAGTTAAAGATGGACAACATGTTAAAAGAGAGTAAGCATTGTTGGAAAGACAAGTCAGTTAAATTATCATGCTGCTCTCTTTCTGCACATCTCTGATGTTATTTTTCAATTATATTTCAATTTATTTATTTATGTGAAATTCATATTTCAAATACATTTTAAAATATCTGTGGCTGTATATTGGTTATTTTATTCTCCAGGTGCACAGTTTTATATCATTAAAATACTTAACAGTACAGTATTTTATTGTTTATCGTTTAACTCTTCACTAATATGTTATTTTTACAAATTTTTTTAAGGTCCACATTTGTGTGACAATTTTTTCTATAATCTTTTTGCTGCTGTAAACACCAGAATTTCCCCATTGTGGGACAATGAAGGGATTTTCTATTCTATTCTAAGATACATAGATTGTATATTTTCTGTACAAGATTATAGAAGTTTTTCTATGGAACTAAATAGTAATTTCTAATTTAGATTTTTGGTACTAGAAGTAAAATAAAATACCAGTGATATGGCACTCATAGGATTTGCAATCATTTTCTTTTTTGATGTAGCAGAAGCAAAGATCATGTTGATGAAAGAGCATTTTATCATTATGTTTTCATTCTGCTAAACGAATAATACGAGATATAATGTATAACAAAAAGCAATGGTGTGTTATGTTACAGTGTCATCTAATTGAAAGGTTATGCACAATCTTGAAAAAGGTTCATAGCTTTTAAACATGTCACATTAGAGTGACCAAATTCTGCATCCTCGATGTTGATTTTATATGATTGAATGTGAAGAAAGTTATGCATTGTTTTTAATAATCTTTAGAAGGGAAAGCCGTGCTACTCATTCAGGGTGAGGTAAAAACTGATATGCAAATCTTTAAAAATATCAGACCACTGTCAAATACATCCTAGCAAAACAAAAATGGCTTGGTATGACACCAAACCCACCAGGATATGGCTTTCCTTTTACAGTAAACTGAGAAAAAGTCTGACAATCTGTAGAGTTCAACAGTTCAGGGGGTTAAATCTGTTTGGGGGAAAACTTTAGTTTAATTTCTCCATGTGGGCATAAAAATCAGACACCACATATTACCCACCAAAACATGATTGGGTCGTTCAAAACAGGCTGTGGTTCTGAATAAAGCTATCCAGAAGAAAACAATAGTTTGAGGTCATAAAAGACACTAGACTAGGATCGAGGTTTACCTTCCAGCAAAACCATGACACTGAATGTTCAGCAAGAGCTACAATAGAAAAGTTAGGATTACTCAAAACTGCTCTTAAAACACATTTCTCTGGTGATGTGATGACCCTTGAGTTCACGAGTCATATGTGGAAGGAGCAAAAATATTAGATACAGTGCTGCAGCGAAACACTACATTACACTTCACCCTGAAAACAACATCCTTCGAGGGAAACTTGGCAGTGTCAGCGTCCTGATTTAAGAAAGATTTCTAGAGATGGGAGAGGGACATTCGTAAAGATAAACTTAATGGATAGGGATAAGAAAAGGAAAATACTTTTATGCATTGCAATAGACTTGAAACTGGGGCAAAAACCAACACTGTAGAAGGATTTAGATTCAAGTATATTTTTAATGTAAAAATAACCAGACTAAATCCATCAGAGGATCTGTGATAAGGCTTTAAAGTGGATGTTCAAAGGATCTCTCCATCCAATCTGACTGAACTTGGGCATTTTGCACAAAACTGCTGGCATTTCCTAATTAGCTAAACTGGCACAAACACATTCAAAAGGTGCTATAGGCTATAGGTGCCCTTGAAAGGGGTTCCAAAGGTATTGTTTTAAAAAAGCTTATAATGCCAAATCTTTGCTATGAAAACAAGAAAACTATGTGTGTTTTACTTTCCATGCCACAGCAATGTATTACTGTTTTGTTGGTTTATCAAAGTAAATAAAGGTAATAAGAAATGTTGAGATCTGAAAATCTTAATAGCTTTATCGGTTTATTTGTTTATATTTATAAAAGGAGTTGTCAACCCAAAACATTTTAAGGATTTGGGTCTTTCTCTTTTAGAGTATTTTAATTGCTTGTTATTTAAGATGAAAAGAATGTTGCAGGGATGCAGAGTAGGAGCAAGGAGAAGAGAGAGGAACAGGAAATATAAGCAATCTCTTTCATTAATCATCATCTTAGATCTTTAGTAAACAATTTAAAAGAACTCCATAACATAGCACGGACCCAGCAAGAATATTGGCAATGCAGCATTATGTATTTTATTGAAATGTGGCTGCAGGATCATATCTTGGAATCCAGAGTCTCTCAAAATTCAACAGAATTAGGTTGGCAATGATTGTGAACAACAGATGTCTTCCAGGACACGTGACTGTGAAGACTTTTTCCTGTAGCCTGGATATTGAGCTGTTGACAATTGGTTTCCCGCATTATTATTAGCCCAGAGAGTTTACCACTGTTTGTGTAGTTACTGTTAATATGGAAGTTATGTCCCCCTGAAGGCGGCTGCGCCTCGGAACTTCCCTACTGGTTCTTTTCCTGGGAGCAAATTATTTGAAAGTATATGGTAAACTATATGGGTAAAACCATATAAAAAAGGACCATAAAAACAGGAGTAAAAAAGTAACAGAGTTTATTCCAGATCAGGTCGTTACAGGACAGAGAAAATGCTTGGAGCTTGCACAGCTGTGGGCTCAAAAACACGTCAGCGAGCGTCCGGCAATGATTGAGCAAAGATTGAGCCCCAAACAAGGTCATCTCCTCCTTCTTATACCTCATGAGTCCATGTTTTGCATCAGGTGGATGCTTAACTTACCGTATCAGAAACTGATACGCCATCCATGTCTTGAACTTCATGCATCTTGCGTCTATGCCCAAGGATTACAGATATGTCTCCTCTATCAGTCCGGCTCCAAGATGTGCCCCTATCCTGTGTATTTCTAAAGACACAAAGGCTGTCCTGATTAGATGACCTCCATACACACAGGGACATCCACAATGTGAAGGAAGGCCTTCTACTCTGTCTAATCTTGCTAACAGAATAACAGTGCACATGATGTATAAAGAATAAACTTAACATTACTGTTTACATTCCACCTTCTGCTGTTGCCGACATTGCATGTGAGGTAATCAGTTAGGTGGTGCTAACTCCAGACACAACAGCCGAATGCATTTGTGGCAATAACTGGTGATTTTAAATATGTCTCACTTTCTGCTACGCTTTCAACATTCCAACCATTTGCCAGCTGCTGCACCAGAGAAAATCAACGTTTGGACTTGTTTTATGCAAATGTCAAGGACTCCTACATCTCTGAAGTAAGACCTCCTCTTGGGAAATCACAATCAGATCACAATCTTGTTTTTCTCTGCTCAGATTATAAGCCACTTTATAAGAGACAACCTGAATTAAAAAGAACTGTAAAAAGATGGTCACAGGAGGCTGCAGAAGCCCTGTATAGTTGTTTTGAGGCTACAGACTGGGATGCATTGTAATAAAAGAGGATATCAACACAATGACTGAGTGTGTGAGTGATTACACCATCCCTACCAGAACAGTGAAATGTTTCCCAGTGATCTGAAGCAACTGCTCAACAAGAAAAAAAATTAACCCTTTAAATAGCGAGGCAGGGAATTAATGAGGAGTATACAGAAGCAACTTAAGGTGATGATACGAGAAAACAAGGAGGCATCCAGGAAGAGGCTGGAAATCAAGCTCCAGCATAACAATATCAGAGGTGTGTGGTCAGGGAACAAGAAGTTCACAGGCTTCAAGCAGATGGATGATCAGACATTTGGAAGTCTGGACAGAGCAAATAAACTGAATACATTCTTCAACAGGTTAAGTTTAGGAACAAGCTCAGCACCCCTCTCTCTTGCCCTCCTTTGCATTACTGTCCTGCTTCTATGAGTTAATTATCAGCAAAATCAGAAGATTTTGCTGATAATGAACTTTCACCTGTCTCTAAAGATGAAGAGGCAACTGGGGAGGCTGAATCAATCAGCCCTAGAGTCCTGAGGGCCTGTGCAGAGCAGCTCTGTGGGATCCTACAGCACCTCTTCACTCTTTGTCTGACTCAGGAGACAGTTCCAGTGATGTGTAAGACCTCCTCCAGTCTTCAATGACTATAGACCTGTTGCCCATCCCACATCATGGAGGTTCTAGAGAGACTCTGTTGCTTCAACTCAGCAACTGATTAATAATGTATATTTGAACTAGGTGCACTGATTTAGGGCCAAAGGCTTTATAGTGTCTTAAAACCACATGAAGTATGTTATATTTTCGCAAAATTTATTCACAGGTTCATCATTACAGTAACTACATTAAATCTTCAAAATTTAAGTAACAGTGTTAAAGTTAAGAGTTTGGGAGATGAACAAAAAACATGATCAATGATGAAGATTTAAAGATTTCCACTATGAACCTTTTCTGTTATATCTAGTTATCATGGTAATGGATGTTGCTGTGCCTTTGTCCAACACAAATTTGGTCTTAAAGAGACTACTGCAGATATTACACACAAAAAAATATCTAAAAATAAGTCAAGATTTCTTAAAATAAGTGTATTTGCCTGTGATTTATGCATGTAATTAAGATGTTATACCAATGTTGTACCTTAAAATGTTATAGTTAGGTATTGTGTACTTGAAAAAGGATGATGGAGGTTTTTTTTGTTTGTATTTTTAAACATAAATCATCTTATTCCATTGACAAACTGTCTTATCTAATAACTTAGATTAGAATGTTTGTATTTAACCTTGATCTTGAATATTCTCTATCAAGAGTAATAAGGATGTTTGAATAAAATGTCTCATCTTATAAAATACATTATAGGATGAGACGATTACATTTATATAGGTAATTTTAAGGCAGCACCTCATAACTCTTCACCCAGATATTGTTCATGATTAATTTGAGATATTTCTAATTATTTTAAGGTCAATATATAGCACTTGGCACATGTTGATGCTTTGTGCAAACTATGCTACTCAAATACTCGCTAACGTAACCAGAGATAATCAGATTGTCACTGAATGGATGGTGTGACTCAGAGAACCACTACAGGCAATCTAAGCTCCCCTTAAACACCAGTGACCAGTGGCCTTCAGGGTGCTAAACCTGGAAGTTACAGGTCTTAGCGCCTAAAAGGTTCACAGTGCTGCTTTGAAAATTGATTAATTGCAAACATTTGTAGAGTGGTCCATCTTTTAGACAAGTCTAACTATTTACCTGTTCATTTCCTTGAGGGAGGAATTGTATTATAATCTTTGTTCTCTTATAGGGGCAATTTGATGGACAAGCAAGTTTTGTAAGTAACATTTAGCCCATTTGTAATTATTGTTCCCTCAAAGTTCTTCTTATAATATAATAATTTATCCTTTCAATTTCCTTAATCTGATTTTTAGGATGTAGACATTGGAAACCTAAAGGTGAATTCCAACTACAGAGTCAGCGTTGGTGCATACGGCTGGACCGGGGAGGGCAGACCAAGCATGCCCAGAGACATCAGTACTGCCTCACATGGTAAGACTATGTGAGTGGAAGACATCAGTTTAACCATAATTCTAATTATTTACCTGCATAGTATATTCAGTCATGAATAAAATAATTTAATTTTGTTTTATTTTGCCAATAGAGATGTGTATGCCCCCTTCACCACCAACTCAGCCAGTCGTCATGGCCGTATCAGACACAGAGTTGGCCTTATCATGGCAGGAAGGAGAGAGTCAGGGAAGCTCCCCTGTTCTTCACTTTTTGGTGGCTTACATCAGGTCTGTCAAAACTTATTTACGGTAACATTTGCAAACTGAGAAAACAGCAGTTCATAAAATGTCAGGCACCTTAAACAGATTTTTGCACACAGGAAATGAGAAAAAATTGTGTTCAGTAAAATAGGTTGAACCGAAAAGGCCCCTGTCTAAATGTATGGAGGGAAGTCAGAGAAGGCATGTGCATAAAAGAAAATAACATTTTTAAATGAATAGCTTTTCCATCAGGAAATTTTACACTGAAATTGTACACAATGACTATATTAGATATCACATAATATATTTAACATGTACATGTGTCCCATGACTGAATTGTAAATGCTTGGAAACTGAAACCCTAATCCTCACCCTCTGTTCAGTGATAGCTTTTCTCTTTTCACAAAGTTGGCTTCCTTGATGCCTCTTTCAAACTACCTGTCCTCTTTGTTCAAAATCTGAACACCTTGGTCTTTAAAAATTGCGATTTCAGCTTCCAATCATTTATGATTCAGTCATGGAACTCATTCCAAGGAAATTACATAAACACTCCCATTATGATTCAAAAGGCCAATCACATAGACCAAGCACAATAAAAGGCTCCAAGAACCCAGAAGAATAAGGGGTAGCTATTTGATTTACATATGACTTGGAATTTGTGCAGAAGAATAGACCTCTATGCTGCTTAAATACATCAGGGCAGCTAAAGATGCTCTGGTGCATGCCAACAATATTGACAAAGACTTCTGGATAGGTGTCAAAATATGTTAAAGAAAACAGAGCAAAATTCCGGTTGCCTTCCAATTTAAGCCCGTTTGTTGTTGTCATGACCTGAATGACTGAGAATTTACACAGACATATTCAAGATGGATTCTGTAGATATTCAGAAGCGACCGGCATTCAGCTTAACTCAGACACTAATGATATGTATTAGTGAGTGCTATGAGAATGACAAGAAGAGTTCTATGTTTTGGCCACAGGCAGTTGAATTATTAGGAAACTCTGTAATACATCATTAAACATAGTTACAATTATATTTTGATATATTAAAATCTTCTGTTCTGGTTTAAGAGCATGCTGTGCAGGCTGGTCATGAAGTGGGGTTTAATCTGTACCAGTTAGATATGGGACATTTTTTTTTTTAATTTTGGGACGCAGAAACAGAAATAATAATAATAAAAAAATCTAAACATTTCCACATGAACTTGTTTGAAGTGTGCAGTTATGCTGAGGATGTCATAGGCCTAGTAAATAACCACACACCAACCCACATCAACGTGTCTGCACAGTTGAAAGCTAAAAATGGTAAATGTCAAGGAATCCCGTGAAGAACTGAATGTTTTTTTTTTATCTGGAAAAATATAAAGCAGTTAATTATTCTTACTTTACTGCTTGAATACAGCATCGTCATTCATTTATTTTACTCTCATTGCATACATTTTATATAACTGGAAACCATAAATCCCTAACTTAACTATTTTTAATTAAGGTGGCCTATTTTATCAAAGTATTTGAATGAAAACTACTTAAAACACAAACATTAAAAAAAATTCCAGGGCTTCAATGTTGCCTTTGGAAACAAAAATAGGATATCTCTTAATGGGTAATTTAAAATAGGTAGTAAACTTAGTGACAAACAAAACTACTAGGATATTCAGCCATCAACAAATGTTTAGCATTTAGGGCCTACCTAGAGGCTGTTGTCTACCCTGGTACTTTAAATTGATCTTAGTCCTTGGAAGCAAGAAAAAAAAAAAAACGCTTTCCCAGAAAACTAACCTTAAATAAATGAAGAGAGTTAAAACATTAAATATTCTTCACAAGGTGTCCCTCTGAATTAAAAGTTTAAACACTGTTAATTAAATTAAACATATATATTTTCCAAATAGCATTTCTACTGCTAGTTTCTCCCAAGTCATAGTAGTGAATATACTATTGGTTGTTTTTCAGTTCTTTCCCCCTGTGAACATTTATGCCTTCACCCTCTGCTAATTCACCTCATATAAACCTCACAACTCTTGTTTTCCTTTAGCTCCAGCAGCACACACAATAAAGCTTTAAGTGTGCAGTCTGTCCTTCAGCCCACTGCTTTGTAAATAAGCTATTGGGGGTGGAGTGAGGTCCATTAAAAACATAACTCAACTCAAAGATGTCTGACACAGCTTCATCCTTAGGCTCTATCAGCCAGATCTTTTAAACTGTATATGTTTGGTTTGGTCATGCTGTAAGTTTCATTCCTTAGCCCTCCTGTTGGTACATTAAGCTTGCATGCGACCCTCTTTTATAAATAATGCAATGCAATGTAAAACTAAGCTGATCGCCCCTATCTCTTTATCCATTAGATGAATTATTTAATCTAAGTGTTGGGCAATACACAAATAGACGCATCTTTTAAAATAATAAACCTTTTATTTTACATTAATAATGATTCTGTGGGTGGTCCATTTAAGGTTAAAGGTTGAAATATGTTCAATCTCGCTTGATTGTAAAAATCAGTTTTAAGTGCATAATAATAGCTTAGAAAAAAACTAATAGTCTGAGATTGAGAATATGCAGATCTTTTTTGTATGCATCATTGCTGGTCTGCTCAGTGTAACCACTTGTGTTTAGACACAGGGGTCAGTTGGGACATGAGAAAGAATGAATTTCATTCTTTTTCTATTAGTGTTCAGCCTCATAGACACACATGTCTAGACACTGTCTGCAGAGAAGCCAAGGACACAATGAGTAGATTGTGTTCATACGATGAATTCCTAAATCTTAGGCGGACAAGATTGAAACTATTTGTTTTCATTAAAATAATACAGGTTAAAAAAAATGGGAAGTATTAAACAAGTTATCAAAATGCAGTGCTGATTTTTTGTTTTTTTTTTGCTGCAAAGCTTTTGATTGCATATCAACAAAGATACCAACGGGAACTGTTACGTCCAGACATGAATATGTGTCTCTGTCTTTTTCTGCATGTGCTGCTATTAATTTAGAAGGGCCATCGCAGATGCAGATCTTTCCCCTTGTACATCTAAAGATGCCTCCCTGAAGAGACATCTTAAGTGTTTTGTTTTGGCTGAAAATGTATAAACACAAAAAGCTTGATATTAGTTATTATTTTTTCTCTTTAGGCAGATTTTCTTGAAAAAGAAATCCGATTTTTATCATTTGACTGAATAATTTTTATCTTTCACCACAATGAAATAAAATATAAGCATTGCCTTTTTGATAAACCGTTCATTTGTCTTTTCTCATTGCAGAAGCAATCAATAAAGCAAAACTAAAATCAGTAACATTTTATTTATTTTTTTTATTTATCCTTTATTTAACCAGGTAATACCCATTGAGATTAAAAATCTCTTTTGCAAGGGAGACCTGGCCAAGATAGGCATCAAAATTACATCACATCATTACATATGTATAAAAGACACACACATAAAAGCCAAATATGCACTTTCAATAAAATTTCAATTAAAACATTGACATGTGAGGGAGTCTAACTCAAAACATCTAATTCTCAACTTAAAAGTATTCAAAGGAACCAATTTACTAAGTTTCATGTTATTTTGCAGCAAATTCCATGTAAAGGGAGCAGAGTAAGCAAAGGCCTTTTTACCCAGCTCAGTACTGACACGTGGGACAGAAAACAAGACAACAGCCTGAGAACGGAGAGAGTAATGACCAGTACTTTTTTCATAAGAAGTGAACATAAATAAGATGGAAGCGCACCAAGAATAGCCTTATATATAAATATATACCAATGACAAAGCCTCCGTGTAGCCAAGGCAGACCACCCTACACGAGAATACAGCTCACAGTGATGGGTGCGAGCTTTACAATTAGTAATAAATCTCAATGATGCGTGATAGGCTGCGTCTATCATCTGCAGGCATTGAGCAGATGAATGCATATATAATATATCACCATAGTCCAGCACAGTTAAAAAAGTGGATGCCACCAACCGTTTTTTTACATTAAAAGAAAAGCACAGCTTATTTCGAAAGTAAAAACCCAATTTTAGTCTCAACTTTCTCACTAGACAGTGAACATGAGGCTTAAATGATAGGTTGTCATCAATGACAATACCAAGATACTTATAAGTTGAAACTATCTGTATTTCACGACCATCAAGAGTAACCACTGAAGGAACATTCAGTGACCTGTTCCGAAGGTCTGTGAAAACTAAGCATACATTTAGTTTTTTCTGCATTGAGCACAAGTTTCAACTGTAGCAAAGTATTTTGGACCACATTAAAAGCATTCTGTAAGTGTGCAATGGCTTGTTTAAGAGAAGGTGCACAGCAGTAAATAACTGTATCATCTGCATAAAAATGAAAATTTGCATCAGACACATGCCGATTAAGATCATTTATATAAATAGTAAATAAAAGAGGGCCTAATACAGAGCCTTGTGGAACCCCTTTAAAGATTGGTAAAATACCAGATTGAACACCATCATGCTTAATGCACTGAACATATTTTTACTTTTTATTCACTTTTTCCATTCAAATCCAAAAAGAACATTCTATAAAAAAATTGTTCATGTATTGTAATATTGTAATGAGATGTAATTTGTCATTCAGTATTAGAATGCTCAGAATATAATTTCAAAATATGATTCAAAGACAGAAAACAGTGTGATGTCTCTTTGTTTTGGTGTTTCCTATATCTTTATGTTTAATACTTATTATTTCTTACCTAGGCCAGAAATGGACACAGAGTGGACTTATATACGTGAGCCCATTGAGACCAATTCCATGGTTTTAAAAGGCTTGTTACCAGAAACAGAGTACCAGTTTGTTGTCAGAGCGGTCAACATGCATGGTGTGAGCCCACCAAGTCACATCAACATCCCTGTGCGAACCCTTGGTAAGGCCAGATGCTTACTGTATCTCTGAATCTATTAAAAAGCTGAAATACTACATTTCAGCAAGTCCTTGGAAAGGTTTGGTTTGAAATAATGTCAAGTCAGTGAATTTTTGTATAAAACGTGTATGTTCTTTGAATCATCATGGCTGTAGAGTTACTCATTGAGAAATAGATGCAACTATGGTAAAACATGTTTTGCATCTATTGTGCCATCTCTAGAAAGTGTCTTTACATGGGCAATTTTTTACTCAACACAAGACAAATGATAATTAAATTTGGTTCAGTTTATTTATATAGAGCCATTTCACACATCTCAAGGCTACGAGACAAAAGCGCTCCTTACCTGTCAGCCAATGACGCACTGAGTAGAGCAATATTGCCCCTCATAGAGTCCTGCTTTTAAGACCATGTGGGATGTTTGGCTTTGTAGCCAATGAAATAAGGTTTCAAACAAGGGTAGATATGGCTGGGTTGCATAAAGCAGAGCCGTGTTACCGGCTAGTGTAAGAGTGAAATACACCGCAGAGACTGGATCAGTGCACACAGTTCGAAGCAGATTACTTACAACGCTCCAATATTTTTGGATGCTGATTTTGTTTTATTACAATGCCGAAAAAAAAATGCAGCTCAGAAAAGGCCCTATTTTAGCTTGACAAGCAGCAGATTCCCTATTTTTTTATTTTTATTTTTTATGTTATTTCAGGTTTATAAATGTTACATTTTTTTATATACATAGATTCTGAAAAAAAGTGGAAAAATACTTGCTTCATAAATGTTTTGTGGCAATCGAAATGCTTCAGTGTTATTCTATGGGTCAAATAGTTGAGTAAAAGCATTTGGCACAATCTGTCACATATGGAGAGGTTTGGAGATGCTGGTGACACCAAAGGTTCAAAGCCCCACAGCTCTAAAACTGTTTCAGCTAGAGGTCTGACATTTTCTGTATTTGTGGTTGACACGATGTAGAGCAAACGTAATACAATGAGACATGCTTTTTCTCTAGCATGTCTTTATTACTGCTGTTCAAAAAGACCTAATATTTTCATGAATAAAAAAAACAAACTTTGAGTCATGTTTGAAGCTTAACCTGTGTTTTACTTACACCATTTTACTTTCAAGTGATGTATCACATATATAACGTGGGCTTACATTTTCTTAGTTATTTGCTTTTCCATTTGGGTAGGATTACTTCAAATTGGGTGGGTGTTAAAGATTTGTTAAAAGTTCCTGTGAAGGAAAACTAGCTGACTGCATTGAGTAATTGACTTGCAGGACATGCTCCTGGATGTGCTAGCGGTGACAACATTCACTTGTATTTAGTTGCTGAGTCTTCAGCAATCCCTCACGCTAAGCATGCATGTAGCAAAAGTGGAGAGTAAAACTGCCTTTTAACAGGAAGAGACCTCCAGCTTAGTGTGAGTGGCCTGGGTTTCAAGGAGGTAGATTCAGACATAAATGAGAATTCAGACTTCACAGGAACAATTCTAGTTGAGATTAAGGTGCAAGTTTCAGATGTCTGAAAATGCTACTTTTATGTCTTCTGACAATTATATGCAAGTATATTCATTAGAACGTGGAGCCCAAATAGATAAATCTTTTGTGTGAAATATGCAAATCAGCCTAAAAACAAAACTAAGCACCTTGCTGAACTTTATGAGTGTCATTATCCACATTTTAATGAGTCTTTTACTGAAACCAGTTGAAAGGCAACACAGACAGGACAAAGCCATAACTAACGCTTTGCATAAAAAATGAAATTGTCTAGAGCTTCTTTAAACGAAATTTCTTTTTGTTTACACTCTTGTATACAAAATGACAAAATAAATCTGTCTAAGTCTAAGCTTGGAGGGGGACTTTGAGTACCAGTAGGGATTATCACTGAGGCGCTGGAGATCTGGCTGACCGCTCCACCTAACGGGAAAAGCACACTCCAGCTCCCAACAGCTAATAGCATAATAATGGCATGTCAGAGCCATCTTTGGTTGCCAAAAATGAATTAAGGCCTCTGCCTTGCCACTGAAGAGTTCAGTATAGGTTCAAATAACTTCATAAAAACATATATTTTAGGTTACGACCAATTTCTCAACCCTATTGCATCTTAGAATGAGGACTTTTCATTTTCATCATGGTATGGGTATTAGCCTCATCAGTTTAGCAGGAAAATATATATTAGGCTTTTAATACTTAATTCAACCTTAAAAAGGCATGGGAGGGGTAAATCGACCACAGATCTCAATGTGATTTTTTTTTGAGGGGTCATAGAATGATTCCATAGGGTATTTGGTGCTGGTCCTTAAGGTCTCTGATTAGGGTGTGTAACATTGGTTGGGCTGAAAATGGCATATTTGCTTTTCTATGGGCCCTAATGCAAGACGGGGGAAAGCAAGTAAACCGAAACCTATTGGCTTATCTAGCGGACCAGATCCCTTTAGCGAGCCAGTTCCAGAGCCCTTTAGCAGGCCAGTTCCCCAGCCATAGGGCCCTTAGTGGGCCTCCTTTCGAGCCAGAACCCTTTAGCGGGACATTCCTTGAGCCAGAGCCCGTTAGCGTGCTCCACTCCACTTTTGGACCCTGGCTGGGTTGCTTTGTGTTTTGGACTTTTTTTGTTTCATGCCCTTATTCCTGGTTCCCGCTCCACCCACCCTGTTTGGGTTGTTTTTTGTTTTTGGACATTTTATGGTGTCTGGAATCCGCCCTTAAGTGGGGGTACTGTCACGGTCTTGGTTCTGTTAAGTTTTCTTTTGAGTATTCAGTTTCACCTTGATCCATGTTTTTCTTTGTTTTCTAGTTGTATTGGTTTGATTCCTATTGTGTTGTGTTTTCTGGATATATTTGAGTTCTTAGGTTTTTCTTTGTTGCCCCTTGTTGTCCTCTTGTGTTCTTCGTTTCCCTAGCTCCTTTCTAGAAGCCTCTGTTCACACCTGCTCCCAATCAGCTCATTAATCCTGTCTTTATTCAGTCTCCCATATATATTCTTCCTGTGCAGTTCCTCAGTGCTGGTTCCTTGTCTTTCCCTGACTTCTCATGCATGTTTTCGCTGATGTCTCCATTGTTCTGTTTTTTCTTTATTTTTTATGTTGGATTTTTAGATTCCTGCCTCAGTTGCCTGTGAGTAATTTTTTTAAATCTTCAAGAACTCACCTCTGCCTCCTCACCTTTGCATGTGGGTCCAAACCCTGACAGAATGCATCATAATTCAAATGACAGAGTGTTATTCTCCGGCTTATATACAGGGTGGTAAACAACATGGAGGCGCCCAAAGACAGCGGCCAAGAGCAGCTTTCGACAATTTCACAGAATATGCCGTTGAAATTGTTACAAACAAGGCATTGCGCGTGCAACTATGGCCGCCAACGCCTGCTGGGGCTGTGGTCACAAAATGTTTTAAAAACAGACATTCTTGACCGTTTAAAAAGCTACGGAGTGTTATGGGCGAATTAAAAAAACAAAACAGTGCGCTCACTTACCAGGCCAGGCTGGAAGAAGAGATGCGCAAGACTGAGGAAGCGAGGCTGCAGAGCCGGGGTAATGGCGAAGCTAAGGAGGAATCCCCACAGACCACCGCTATCATCAATCCTGCTCTCCAACCTCCGCTCTTTTCAAAAAAGGAGCTATGCAACTGCTTCGCTATTATTCTGACGAAGTCTTGGCTGCATCCAGCAATACAATGCTAATAGCCTGTGGGGGGTATTCTATACCGCACTGATAGAAACAGAGACCTCTGTGGTAAGACTCTCAGTGACAGACTTTGTGTTTACATTAACAATGCTAGATCGGTCACCAGCTTCTGTTCTCCAGACATCGAGTTTTGGCTCCTCCACTAAATGAAGCAAGCCTCGATATGCGCCTCACGGAAACGCCCCCTCCAGTACTCAACACATGCCTTGAAGCCTCTGCTCATCTCATAACATCAACATTTTTATGTTTAAAGGAACATTTATGAAATTATTAATCACCTGCAGTCAGTCAATATGATGAACAGATGATGTTTGGATATTTTTTTTATCTTAAACTTTCTTTACATTTTTCTTTATTATAAGAAGCAAATTAAGAATCAGACCCAACAGCGACCTGATACTTCTTTTAATTGTCTTAAAGCAAAATGAGTTTACATTTAGTTGAACTCTTCAATTTATATGAGGTTACGTTTGTTTCAGCTTTAACTGAGCAGATTATCATCTTCTATAATTAGATAGTTGTGAAATGCAGCATATAACTGGTTAATATTTTCAGCTGCAGCAGAAAGCAGTCTGACTGATCCAGATTTACATTCCAGGGTTCTGCAGCTCCTTCAGTCAGAATTTCCAGTTAAACTGGAATTCCCTTAAACTTGTTAATTTACATCTTCTTTGGAGTTAAAGTCGACTGACTCAACTATTAAATAGCTCACTTTATCCCTGACAGATCGGTATTTGCAGTGTCTGCAAAAGCAGACCTGTTTTTGTTCACTCCTGCTTCATCTCATCCCCTCATCTCTCGGCAGCACCAGTGTTGTGCTGCAAAATGATTCCTGCTCCGAGGTAAAGCATAGATCTGTGCAGAATTCATCCAGCAGTTACTGGTTTAAACACTGACTACACATAAACATTTTAAAATTATTTAGCACATGTTTTAACATGACAACTTAAGCTTGTATTCAACATTCTAACTTTGAGTGAGGGATCAGAAAGGGATCAGCTTTCTGAGGCAGCCAGCAAGGTTTATTAGGAGCAAACTGCAGAGGCTGCACTGCATGGTGCATGATGGGAAATGCTCTCCTGCCACAGGTGAACGGAAAGGTAATTAAAAGTTTTGTCAATAAAAATGCAGCTGCAAGACCTCCCCAACCCTTTAATTTGTCTAATTCATCTACATACATACAAATCAAAGAAAGTAATCATTGGCGTATTTGTTGCACATATTTGTTGAGCTAAACATGCTTAGATGGAGTTTAATTGCTGTGATGAATGTTAGGATGGAGTTTATAGAATTAGCGTGCAGAAAAATCCACAAATAAATTA